CGCCGTTGCGGATCCATGCTTGCAACGCCGATGCGACAATATAACACAAACTAGCGTCGTGCGCAAAGGAGGTGCCCTCAAACGACAGTAGCTGGAGCTCCGGCGATTTGGCAAAATGCGCATTGAGCACGAGGAAAGCATTGGCCGAGAGCTCGACGTTATGGAGCGTCACCGACGTCAGCGCCAACGGATGCGTCATGGGCGGTAGCGGAAGTGGGACGTCATAGAGCTCGGCCCCGAGAAGCTTGAGGACGCGGAGGGCCGAGAAGCGCGTGAGCATCTCGAAGAGCAAGTCGATGTCGTCCTTGCACGCGATGGTGAGCGACGTCAGCACGGCTGGGTTGCGCGATCGAGGATGGTAGAGACGAGAGCATAAGCACTCTCAGCACGGACGCGCATCGTCTGAAGGTTGTTGAAACGCATGGCGCTGGCGTCGCAAAGCGAACCGAAGACCTGGTCGACGGCAATCACGTCCAGATGCGAGAGCGAGCTCGTGGCGGCAAGCATACGCACGATGCCGTCTGGCAAGTGTTTCACCTTGCTTTCGAAGCGCAGACGTGTGGCGTGGCCCGACTGCAACCACTGCGCGAGGGTCGCCGTCCATTCGTCCGGGGCCCGGTCAAAGTGCGCAAAAGCCGTCCACATCGTCTGAAAGAACATGCCAATCTGGAGGTGCGTCAGCTTGGGCCCGAACGTCTCGACGAGCCACTCGAACGGGCCGAAACGTGTGGTCTATGGCGCGTGATCGGGCACGTACCGCTCAAGGCCCGTGCGGCCGACCTCGACGGCGTGGAACGCCGGCAGCGCGTCGATGACGAGGCCGGTGGACGCCTGATAAACATAGTCCAGCTGCAACACGGGCCACATCTTGTCCAGAGCCGTCGTCTCGTTCAGAGCCGGCCAAACAAAGCCACCGTTCACCACGACGTCCAATGGAGCGCGCAGCAGCCGCAAGAGCGCAACGAGCGGCGCGCCGAGTGTTGGCGTGTCGATGCCTTCAAGGAAGGCAAGCACCTCTTGTGGCGTCTTGAACCACTTGAGGATGCCAATGAGGACATGGTCCAAACCAACAAAACTCGACCACTGCCGGGCGAGAGCCGCCGCCTTGGCGCCAGCGTCCCGCATGTCGTCGCCAGGTGGGCGCAAAAGCCGCAAGAGCGTGACGGTCGCCACGTAGATTGCGTCGTCGATGGGTGCGCGCAGGAGCCGCAAGACCGTGGCGAGCGGCCCGCAGATTGCGCCCAGCGGGAGCGCGTCGAGAAAGGCGACGACGTCGTCGGGTGTCTCCAAGCACTTGACGATCGTGATCTGGACGTGGTCGAGACCCACGGCGGGCGTCGGCGCAATCGTGGGCCGCTTGGCGTTGCTCATGCTTGGCCGACGCAAGACTGCAACTGCAAGGCGAACTGCAAGGCGATCTGCAAGGCGAATGTGTTTTTTCTAAAACTCAAACTCAACGCTTTCAAACTCAATCGCGAAAATCTCTATTTAAAATCCATTTGGCCGCATACAACACCACAATGGTGCTCGGCATATATGCCCAACAATAGGCGCCGAGCGTTCTGTGCTCAGTGTTTGAGTTAAGTTTGAGCTCTCCTCGTGCTCAATGCGCATTTTGCCAAATCGCCGGAGCTCCAG